CACATTAAAAAGTTCTTGCTTAAAAAAAAAAAAGACTAAAATCTGGGACCCCCTACCTCCAGAACCCAAATTAGGTATGTAATAATAGATACTCTCACTGAACATTTAATTTATTCAGAGCTTACATTCAATGTTCTATATACATCTTCACTTCACATTCACACAATACCTCTCACATGAAGGTATAATCTCCTCTACACTGGAGTGGGAACCAAAACTCAAAAATGTTAGGCAGTTTTCTCAAGGCCACACTTCCATTAAGGGGAAAGACTGCTATTAAATTCCTTGTGGGTCTGACTCCAAAGCTCATTTCCTTAATGATCACCTATCAATCACTACAGTCAATTATAAATTACTTTGGTTAGGGATAATACATAGAGGAAAAAAGAAATCTGAAAAGGGCACATTGTGCCCAGAAACTCCTGGAAAATCCTGTTGGAAGGCTGGAAGGATTTGTGGCCATCTTTCATGTACAATTCTTTCTTTTTCTGGGACAAAGATGAATGTGATTAACTGTTTTCCAGGGAGAAGATGATCTTGAGTTTTAGACTATGCCATTCCCAGGAGATAATCATATTAGTAAAAACAAGTGAGAGGGAGAATTTGTATTTCTAACAATATCCCATGAGATACTGGTGTTGCTGGTAGAGCAGGTTAAGAGGACAGGGAGTGAACTGGTGCTGGGCGTGACTCTAAATAAGGTGAGCAGGGTAGGCACTTAACACTTGCGTGAAGACTTGTTGGGAGGTGGTGGGTACTAGCCCACATTATTTGGACTTTAGGAACAACTCATTGAAAGGAACTCCCCCAGCAGAGGGCTAAGAAATCTCTGTAATTAATGTGTGATTGTTACCTAATGCAATCTCATGCATAAATAAAATCAGCATAGTTTGAAAAACCACTTATTGATTAGTAGTGTCTTGGAGTTCTGAATCATTCAATCAAGGTCTCACAAACAGAAGCCATTAATTAATTTAGGGTCTGCAAAGACAGGAACTCTTCGGCAAGGAATTCCCATAAAAAAGGCATGTTACCAAAATCATACTACCATAACCATTATGAATTGAACAATTTAGTATAAAACTGGCTTCTAACGGCTGTTTTAATATTCACTTAAATTACAGAGTTCATCAGCTGTTTCTGAGATCATGGTTTAACTCTGATAACAACTCACTCTTCTAGAGCTGAGGAGCTAGATCATACAAAAAGTATGCAGTTTCAAACTAAGGATGTTATAATGGGATTTTAAGATTTTTCATCAAAGGAATAACTTTGGGCCACTTTCTCTCTCAGCTGATAAATAATCTATGAGTCAAAACAAGCAAACTAAAAAACAAAAGCAACTGGTATCTGAGAAGCTGCATGAGAGCTAAGAACACAGGATGGGGCAGAACAAGGAAGCTGAATTTCTCTCTAAGGTTCAGGATGGAGAATCATGCCTGCCTGTCTCCTGGAAAGTTCTTCCTGCCTCAGCTTGTTCTGAGATGTTATCTTCCTGCCCTCCTGGCCGTAGGCTCATCTTGGCTCTCTCCTTGAACCAGCTCTTCTCTGAGCCAGAATGAGTTATTCTCTCACCCTGCCCTGAGCCATCCTTATTGATGGCCCATTCGCCTTGCAAACAGTTTCTTGACTCATCCCATGTCTGAGCCGGACTTGTCACAATTTCAGTGCATCAGTTCTTAAGATTTTTTTTTTTTTTTGGTGGTCTGCCTTGCTTTTGTAGTGCTGACGGCAGAATTTTTACTTGTGAATCCCAGGCCGGGACTGGGATGCCCTACTTACTAACAGACTGACTGACGCCTAACATCTGGCTTTTCTAGGTTTGCAAGAATCAAAATAACTGGGAATCCTCCTTACTGCATTCCACATTCTAGTCAGAATATCAACGTTTTTAGATCTCTTGCTAATCGGGTATTACAATATCACCTACTATATAAAAGAACACGTAAGGGATGAGAAGATGAGACAGCAATCCTTTAATGAAGCACAGTACCAAAACATATTGTGAAGAATGTTATGAATAGGTGCAACTGCGGAAACAGCTGTCCCACTCATAAGCGGGCACACGACAGAAAGGGCTCCTTCCCGATCTGTCGCTCTCCAAACAGATCCCATTACCCAGAGTCACCTTTGTCAGGCAGAATGGGTCCTTTCAGGCGGGATCTAGACTCAGGGAAGATGCCTTGAACCTCTGCCCTGCCCTGAGGTAAGACAGAGCTCTGAGAAAGGGTGGAGCAGAGCTGAGAATGAGGATGGCAATGACAATCCACGTTTGCAAAAGGCCACATTTACACTGTTTTATTTAATGATCCTGAAGCCTTACAAGATAGAATTATGCCAGACACTGTGCATTTGTCAGAGTAACATTAAAGGGAAGGCACTTGTGAAATAAGAAATATGTATATTGGCCTCTGCTCCTGGCTCCTAACACAGAGCTCCTGAAACCTCTGTACACAGAGGTGCTAGGAGAATCTTTTGTTCTATTGTTCAGTCTTTGACCCTGATTGCTGACTCAGAGCTCCTAAGACCTTTGCAATTTCCTGAGTGAGAGGAGCATCTGACAGAGTTCATAAATCTCGGAATTTCTCGGGTGATGAGGACATGTTCTGTCCTAATGAGGCAACTCTTGAGGGGCTCCTGGTTGGGGGCTAGTCACCAGTGAGACCAGGCCATGATTAGAGGCATGGAGCTCTCGGCTCTACCACTGGAAAGGGGAGAAGAGCTGGAAATGAATTTAATAATCAATCATGCCTCCATGATGAAGCCTCCATAAAAACCCCAATAGTATGGGGTCACAGAGCATTCAGGCTGGTGACCACACTTACATGCTGGGGTAGAGGTGGGGGTGACATACTCCAGCTCCATGGGGACAGAATCTCCTGCACTCAGGACCCTTCCATGTATCTCTTCATCTGGCTGTTTATCTGTACCTTTTACCTTATCCTTTATTACATATAAAAAAAAAACCTGTAAGTGCTTCCCTGAGTTCAAGGAGGGGCTTGTGGGAACTTTTGATGTGCAGCCAATTTGGACAGAAATTGTTGGTAACCTGGGGACCTTCTACTTGTGATTGGCATCTGAAATGTGGGTGGGCAGTCTTTTGGACTAAGCCCTGAACCCCTGGAGTCTGTACTAACTCTGATTAGTGTCAGAATTAAACTGAATTGCAAGATACCAGCTGGTCTCAAAGAATTGGTTGGTGTGAAAACCCCACCCACACCCCACTCACATCTGGTATCAGACTTACTATATGTGGGAGCAAAGGAGAAACAGGGAGTTTTTCTTATGGTACTATTATTACCTCCATTTGAAATAGAAGGGAAAAAAAAACACCTGCCACTTGTCTTGACAAGAATATCTGAGCTCCTTTACATGGCAATCCGGATCCTGTATGGATGGTCTCTGCCCTCATTTCTCCTTATACCCCCACCCCTTCAGCATGTGTAGGCATACCTGCATATGCACATATGCACACATGCCCATATGCCTGCACACACACACACACACACACACACACACACGTGTGAGCACATGGTTTTTTTTGGCCATAATACCTGGAGACAATCTCTCAGTGAACCACCCACTTCCCTGGCTCCATATGCTGTTATGCTCTTTTTTCCACCTAAAAAGCCTCTTGATTTGGCTCCGACAAGATTTTATTCAAAGGGAGAATTAAACTTTATATAAACTACATAGACAGGAAGGCATTTCCTTCATTGAATTTAGTGCTTTTCTCTGTAACTATAGGTCTTATCACATCACTATAATTAATTTCTCCATTAAACTCTGATTCTGCTTTTTCCTCACTGGACTCTATGTCACTCAAAGCCATATACTATGTCCTAATTGTTTTTGCATTATCAGTAATTATGACTTCCCCTGGTGCACAGCAATTCTTCAGTAATTATTTGAAGAATGGGTGAGTGGAAACATGAACGGATGAATGAATGAGAGGCAGTATAGCATAATTGAGTATAATTTGGGGTCCAAATAGACCTGGGCTTGAGACCCAGCTCTGACATGGGACTTTGGGTAAGTCTCTTAACTTCTTTAAATCTCAGTCCCCAAATCTATAAAAATCTGTAAAATTGGGGAAATACTACTGCCTAATTCATACGGGTATGGTAAAGATTAAATGAAATAATGCATATAAAACACGTAACAAAAATTCTGGCATGCAGAAAGTGTTGTATTGTTGTTTTATTATGGGAATAACTTAGCTCAGGTGACAAATATATTACGCATACGCAGCATGAACAAAAGTTACTAACAAGGGAGGGGGCTCTCTGAAAGAAGAGGAAGTAAAAACTTTCTCTGGGATGTAGAAAGGAAGATACGCCGGAGAGCAGATGAAAGGTCATCTGAGGCTTTGCAGTTCAAGCACGTTACCTGGTATTGCCATTTGAAGCCATTTGCAAGCAGTTCATTGGAAATGATAATGGGTTGAGATATTGCTTTTATTTTCCAAATAATCAAAACTGTCCTTTGGTGGCAAACCAAGCCAAAGAGGAATAGCTCGGAATTTTGTCATAAATAATATTCTTTTCTAGAAACAGTCTGATATTTAGCATTTCAGAGAACTTGATCTTTATGAGAGCCAAACAAAGATAAGCCACTAGTTATGATATGAATGAATCCTTGCATTTAAAGGTAGAGAATAGGAAACCAGGTGAAGGATCCCCCACACAATACCTATCCCCATTGATACAGCATCAAGCAAAAAGCAAAAAGCGCCACCACACGCTGATGCAGATAGCTTCTGGTTTGCATTCTACAACAGATCCCGGTCACAGCTGGGTGGCACTTGCAAGCTAATCTTTTTTCTCTGACCAGCTGTGCAGAGCCTGAGATGTCATATTGCAGGAGATGCTTTAGTTAATTAAGTTAGGTTATTCTAGCTGAAATACTAAGCAGGGAAACATTTCACTTTCACCCTCCCAAACCTCTCCCATCACTATACCCACTCCCTTCTCCATACCCACTGAACTTCTATTGCTTACTTGGGATAATTTCTAGATTGAATGAAGGGCAGAATCTCAGAGTCTTGACTAGGTGGAGGAAGTAGCAAATCTCGAAAGCGTTCTGTCAAAAAAAAGAAAAAAAATCAAACTGTGGAAAAATAAGCCACAAAAATAATTTGAAAATAAAATTATTTTCTATTCTTTTAATTTGTTATCTATTTTGACTGCATATCCTTTATTAGAAATTTACCCACAATTTTACATACTGTTAAAAGATTTCACTTCAATGACTACATATCTTTTTTATGATTAACAGATCACAGCAACCTCAAATATAAAAATAGCAAGTATTCATTAGTGTAGACTAATAAAATCCTATAATTGAAAGGTTAGAAGAAATACATATGACCAATAAAAATAACAAAAGATGCACAATCTCATTAGGAACCTGGGAAATGCAAATCAAAAGCACACACCATTAGATAGCATTCACATTACATGGCATTCAACTGATAGAAATTAATTCCAGAAGACCAAGTGTTAGAGAGGATGTGGATCAACATAAGCCCTTATATATTTCTGGTGGGAATGCAAGTTGGTATCATAGCTTTGGAAAATAATTTGGCTTTATCTTTCAAATTTAACCTTTGCATACCCTGTGAGCCAGTATTTACATTACTAGGTATATACTCTGCAGAAACTTTTACCTATGTCCCAGGCAGCAAGTAAAAGAATGTTCACAGCAGCACTGTTCATTAAAACATAAATGGAAACAATTCAGTTGTCCATCAACAGGAGAATGAACAATTTGTGGTATAGGCACACAATGGAATATTAAATGAAATGGAACTGAATGAATTCAGTTACAATAAAAACATGGTGAATCATAATATGAGGTTGAGTGGAAAAATAATAGCAGATGAGATATAGAAAAATACAATTTTTTGTTGAGTTAAGAAATAACTAAGCAATGTATTGTTTAGGTACACTATACATGAAATAAAGCAAACCAGTGAAACACAGCTCAGGATAACGGTTACCTTTTGGGAGGGGAAAGAGGATTACATAGGAGAAAAGCAAAAAGGTAGGTGTAATTGTTACTAATTCATATATGTTAACTGAATATATATACACACACACACACACATATATATACACTATATATATATATATAGGATGCTTACAACTTCCCTCCACAGGGAAGGAGGAAGAGAAGGAAGTAGGGAAGGAAAAAGGAAATGGAAAAATAAGAGAAGGAAAAAGAAGCATGTGGAGGAAGAAAGAATCACTGACTTGAACTTAGAAACAGTTCACTGCATAGCTATCTGCATTGTAGAGTCATCTATTACTCTAATATTGATGCCATATTTCTGGGACTAGATATTCATTCCCTCTAGGGTCATCTCCACTGTGTACTCCCAGGATAGTCTGCTTACACTGTTCCAGAACTTATCACACTACATTTTATTATTATACATCATCATTTATCCACCCCTCCCTCTCTTTCTAGTAGATGAGTATTGCACCACCAGGATATGAAACATCATCTGATACATGTGGATGTACTAGATAAATATTAACTGCAAGTATATTTCCATTTTTGCTGGATACAGAAAACTGTTTGCTAAGATCAACATAATGCCTTTTAGAAGAGCCCAACTGGTCATCTATCAGCCACGGAAAGCAAGCAGACCTGCACTCCACCTTGATGAAGTCACACCATCAGTCTAAGACCTCGCAAAACTGAAACTACACACTAAAAGTGCATCTATCACTCACTGAGGGTGAGCAATTTCCATAAAACACCGAAAATCTACACTTGATGACAATCACCATTTCCTGTTACCTAATAGCTAGATAGGTAGAATAGTTAAACATTTGTGAGCAGGGTGGTTTTGAAGTATGGTTGAGAAGCAGGATATAGATTTTATCTTCATATTTATAAAATATATTGAGTCAGATATTTGACCTCTACTCTGCTTTTTTTT